ATCTATCTATCTATCTATCTATCTATCTATCTATCTATCTATCTATCTCTCTATCTTATATCTGTCTGTCTATAAATCATCTATCTATCTGTCTATCTATCTTTTTGATTTTATGTTTATATCTACAGATTGTTCTATGCATCATAGGTGTAATGAGATCCATGGTTGATGTATTTTCATATAACAATCTCCTACTCTGCCACCACTTTTCAATGGGTGATGTCCCTTTCAGAACTTTTCAAATTTTCTATTCAATCTTCTAGATTCCTATTCTGTTCCATAAGTTTCTCTATTGACAAATACATATCCCATATTAACGTATATAATGCCTAAGTTAGTAGTTTTTTTTAATGGATTTTAATTGAGCTCTACATTTTTCTCTGCTCCTTTCCTGCCTCTCTCCTCCCCTGCAACCCTTCCCCCCAAGGTCCTCATGATCCCAATTTATTCAGGAAGTCTTGTCTTTTTCTACTTCCTGTGTAGATTAGATTTATGTCTCTCTTAGTGTCCTCATTGTTGTCTTAAGTTCTCTGGGATTGTGGTTTATAGGCTGTTTTTCTTTGCTTTATGTTTAAAAACCACTTATGAGTAAGTACATGTGATAATTGTCTTTCTGGGTCTGGGTTATCTCACTCAAAATTATGTTTTATTTTAGCTCAATTCATTTTGCTGCAAAATTCAAGATGTCGTTATCTTTTTCTTCTGTGTAGTACTCCATTGTGTAAATGTACCACATTTTCTTTATCCGTTCTTTGGTCAAGGGGCATTTAGGTTGTTTCCAGGTTCTGGCTATGACAAACAATGCAGCTATGAACACAGTTGAGCACATGTCCTTGTGATACAATTGAGCATCCTTTGAATATATACCCCAAAAGTGGTATTACTGGGTCTTGAGGAAAGTTGTTTCCTAATTTTCTGAGAAATCGCCACACTGACATCCAAAGGGGCTGTTCCAGCTTACATTCCCACCAGCAATACAGAAGGATTCCCTTTACCTCACAACCTTTCCAGCATAAGTTGTCATTAGTGTTTTTGATCTTGGCCATTCTTACAGATATAAGATGGAATCTCAGAGTTGTTTTGGTTTGCATTTCTCTGATGACTAAGGATGTCGAGCATTTCCTTAAGTGTCTTTCAGCCATTTTAGATTCCTCTATTGAGAGTTCTCTGTTTAGGTCTGTACTCCATTTTTTATTGAATTATTTGTTCTTTTGATGATCAATTTCTTGAGTTCTTTGTATATTTTGGAGGTCAGACCTCTGTCTGATGTGGGGTTGGTGAAGATCTTTTCCCATTCTGTAGGTTGTTGTTTTGTTTTGTTGACTGTGTCCTTTGCTTTACTGAAGCTTTTCAGCCTCAGGAGGTCCCATTTATTAACTGTTTCTCTCAGTGTCTGTTAGTAGTTTTATAAGACCCGCAATCAAAGAATGTTAGTTCCAAGAGCTTTTTAAATATTTGTATTATTTTCTGACTCTTGGATTTCCACCTGAATATTAGACTCTTTTTTTTTCAGTTGAATCCACAAATCCACTGAACGAGAAATGTCCTCTTAAAAATATTGAGTCTAGAACCTCTAACCAAAAACTTGTGTGGGACTAACCTAGGCCCTCTGCATATATATTACAATTGTGTAGCTTGGTCTTCTTGTGGGACCCCTGGCAGAGGAAGCAAGGGCTGTCTCTGACTTTTTTGCCTTGGGACTCTTTGCCTCATTTAACTTTAATGAGAAAGGAGATGCCCGGTCTTATTGCAGCATGCTATGCCATGGCTGGCTGATATACACAGGAGGACTGCATTTGTCTGAAGAAAATAGATAAGGAGTGGATGAATGGGGGCCAAGAAAGGAGGATGGAGAAGGGACTGGGAGGAAAAGAGGGGAAACTGATCAGGATTGGAAAATTGATTAGTTAATAAAAATATTGAGTCTAATTCATGAACAGAGTATATCAATGTCTGTGTCTATTTCCTGTGTAATCTTTTAGTGACACATAATTTCTTAAATTAAAAACTTGTATTTTTAATAATGATCAGTGACCAGGATGAATAAGCCAAATTAAGCACATTTTCTCCTAAAATATGTTTTTAGATGCCATCATAGTGATAGCATCTAAAATTTTTATTTCCCAGTTCTGTATTGAGAGTATACAGAAATAGAAATGGGCTTTGAATATTAAACCTCTACTCTGTGACCTAGGTAATCTTTTAGTCACAGTAATAATTGTTTTGTATATTCTTTAATACTTTAAGAAAAGGAGTTGCATGAAATTGAAATAAAGACAGTTTTAATCTATCTCACTTTTTATTTCAATGTAGCATTTTATTTTTTAAGGAATCGCTACATAAACATTGCATAAAAAATCCTAGAGCCTTGTTTCCAGCCATACATCAAAAGTATTTATAATATTTGTGGGCATCCTTCACTGGATTGAAGAAATTTCTTTCTTGTGTTGTTGATTTTTAGAAATTTGTAAACAAGCACTGACTTTCATGCAGGGCTGATGGTGAACTGTAAAGCTCCTGCTTTCTTTCTGTGATAGTTCTCTAGCCTGAGGGCACACCCATGCCAGATGGTCTAGATAGAGACTAACCTCCCAGAATCTCTCTGAAGGACTATATTAATTAATCCTCGGAGGTAGAAGACACAGCCTAAAAGTGAGCAGCATCCTCCCTGATTTGGAATCCTTTCCTGCATAAATTAAAGGACAGGAGAAGAGCTGAAGCATTGCTTTCTACTGTTGACTGTGCAGTGAGGTGACCAGTCTCCTGCATGGGAGCATGCTCCTGCAGCCGTGGGCTTCCCTGCTGTAACAAACTATCACCTGGAACAATGAACGAAACAAACCCTTTCTCCCTCAAGTTGCATGTCAAGGTATTTACCACAGAAACTGGAAAATGAGAAACTCATTATGGATTTTTTCCTTTGGGGATTAACAAAGTATACAAAATACATCAGCATACATACTTGCTTTGCAGATATTGTTTGTTGTAAATAATTTGAACTAGATTGTTGCGACCACTCGACCAGCAAGGAAGACCCAACACCGGAGCTCTTCTTGCAAGCAGTTAATTCAGGACCTTGTTACAATGGCTTCTCTCCCAGGGCAAGCCCCTCCGAGCCTTTAAGTAGGGCTGGGCCACCAATCCTGGATTGCCACATGGGCACTGTCCATAGGTCCACTTATACATAAGCAGCTTATGATCATCGTGTGATTAACGCATGAGCCTGGCCTTAGCCAAATATGGTATTGTCTACCACAGAGAGCACTCGCTTTCGGGATAGCGGGAGGTGGAAGCCAGCACCATCTTTAAGGTGCGGCTCCACGCAGCTCTCCACAGCTCCCCCTTTTTGTTTTGCAAAGCAGCAAGCAAGAGGTCTGATCTCTGTTAGAACTGAAGCATGTACTATTGTTTATCCAGGTGTCCTCCACCCAGAAAACACTAGACCCACTTGGTGCCCTTTTTACAGAGGTGGGACATAGGCACCGACCCACGTACAATCAGACTTGCTCTTCTTGAGGTAAATGTAATTACCCTCAAGTGCAGTGCGCAAGCCTCGCATCCTGTGCTCATATATCTTTTAAAGTAGTTAACCAAGCTTGAGGGGACTGTCCTGTTTCAATAGCCATGAAGGCTTGAATGATCATGGCTGCATTGCGACGTTGTGAGGCTCTCATGCGACAAATGCACCACAGACATACCAGGGAGGCAAGTGCCATTAGGCCTGTCAGGGCTCCTATTCCCGCCCACTCCTAAAAGTAACTAAAAGTTCGTTTCAGCATATTAAGAAAAGCATTAGCAGTAGGTTATTCCAGCCGTGTGGCATTCAGGGAAATAATCTGGTTGGTCAAGGTGTCCGTCAGGTTCTCAAACTCCTTGCTCCAGTTTCCCTGCAGGTATGCACTCAGTTGCCGGCTCAGGTTACCATTCTTTGTAAAATTCTCAGCCAATCTGGAAGTAATACATAAAGAGGAGAGGGAATGAATAATTAACTGGTTAAGGTTACTAAATCATCTACTTGCTCTTGCAAGAGATCTACTCTTTGGTTTACTGTCAAAATGCCAGCTTTTAAATGACCATCGAAGGATTTCAAAGTGGTCATTGTGGGGGCCGTCCTTTCCACGATTTCATTAACTGTCTCTGCAATCTGAGTTGTTGCAGCCATGGCGACAGCAGCTGTCATGGCAGCTGCAGCAGATACAGCAATTGTGGTGACTAGGGCTGCTGTTATCCCAAAGTCTCGTTTTGTTCTGAGCAAATGAGAGATTGGAAAGGTACCGGTATCAACTCTGACTGGGATGGGAACATATGTGGGAACTGTCATCACGACATCTGTATTATAAGTACCATTCCAGCATTGGCTTGTGAGGCAAGTTGCCTTAGAGGTATTACAATAGATCACATCCTCTGTGGCATTGGTAATATTAGTCAGCAAAAAGAAGAAGGGTGCCTTTAAACACACTGGACTGGCAGAAACAGTAAGGTTGTTCATCATTTTATTTATAGTAACATTTGAAAGAACACCCTTCGTATCTCTGCTGGCAGAGATGTTAAGTAGCCGAACAGTCAAATTACGAAGGGCAGCAAAAGGCTCTAGGGATGAAAAAGTCCCTCTTTCATTAGAAAGAATCCATTGAAACCAGGGCCAGGTATTTTTCTTATTAGTTTTCTGATTAGTCTGAGTAGCAAGATTAAAGGAATATCTTCCTAAAGGAAGGGTAAATTCAAAACCTGGGGCAATCTGCTTTGACTTATGATCTGGGCTTTGACATGGGGTCCAATGAGGGGGATATCCTAAATTAGGGACACAATAAGGTAATACTTGCCAAGTGGTGGAATTCCTTAATCCAAAGCATGAATTTGAAGGCCGAAGCCCTTCCATCAACATCAACAAGGTAGTAATGCTTGTGGAATTACTACTGTTTTTACCACTGCCCGTGCCTGAGGAAGCACCCATACTTATTGTTCGTAGTGCTTCCGCAAGCATGGCGAGAGGAACATGATTATCGGTCAATGGGTCAAGCCAATTACCCACTGAGTCATTTTTCAGCCACATACATGGGTTAGAATTATTTTCAAGAGAAAGACATAAGGCTCCTTGAAGAGGAACATCAGCTGCATTATACATAGCCATGCTAGGGTCTAAATTTACCCAGGGTAAGCCTAATTCACAACTAGTGGAATAAAAGACAGGTAGAACTTTTGACGTAGAATGAACAGGTATAGGAATTGGCCATGCTTTTGCTATGGCCCACAAGATTTGTTCATTGGCCCGGATCAGCAACGGGGACATCAGGACCATCATCATCAATAGAATCACAGTTGGAGGCTTCATCTTGCTTGTCGTTCCTCTGCACTTGTACTTTTCTCACCAAGCGCTCTGGTACCCAAATAGGGTCCAAATGATCCTGTGGAAAGACACAAACAGAGCCTCGTGCCCATACCAGCATGGGATCAGGGCCATGCCAGACCCCTGTCAGAGCGTCCTTCCATTTTATCAATCCTTTTAAAGGACTGGATGGGCAAGAATGCCTGTCCGCTGCAGACTGGTATTATCCAAATTTAAAAAATTAAGTGTAAATAAGGCTAAGGAAAATGTATTCTTAGGGGTCTGTTGATGACCTATTCCCCCTTTTTGTTTTTGAAGCACCTCCTTTAAGGAGCGATGAGCATGTTCTACAATGCCTTGGCCTTGTGGATTATAAGGCAGTCCATGTATGAGTTGAACACCCATGTATTGGCAGAAGAGGTGAACTTTTGTCCCGTATAAGCGGGACCATTGTCTGTTTTCAGTTGCTGGGGTTTTCCCCAGGTGGTCCACGCTTCTAGACAATGAACAATCACTTGGGTTGCCTTTTCACCTGTCATGGTGTGGCATGGATAATGCCAGAGCAAGTATCCACGGAGACATGTACATATTTTACCTTGCCAAACTCAGAGATATGGGCAACATCCATCTGCCAAAGTTTAAGGGGGAGCAATCCACGTGGATTGACCCCCAAAGTTTGAGGGTGATGATGTATGACACAATGTGGGCAATCCACAACCACCTTACATGCATCAGCATGGGAAATGGAAAATTTTTGTTGTAGGGTTTTGGCGTTAACATGAAACTCCTTATGAAAATCATGAGCCCTCTGCAGGGCAGAGGCAAGAAACATCCATTCTTGTCTGGTACACTGATCAACCTTGTCATTGCCAGCAGCCAGAGGGCCTGACAAACCTGTATGTGCATGAATGTGCTGTACAAAGAAAGGATTCTTACGTTGCCAGAGTAACAGCTATAATTGTGTAAATAGCCTATGTACAGGGCTGGAGGATTTAATAGGTCCAGCGCACTCAAGGTATTTTAAGGCATTAACAACATAACAAGAATCTGAAATCAAATTAAATGTAAATGGACAGGATTTAAACCCCTCAACCACGATTGCTAGCTCCACTTGCTGGGGAGCTCCAGGAGAAAGCTGATATTTAACAGGTTCTGTGGAGTCCACATGTAAGCACCACAGCCAGTCTTAGATCCATCTGTAAATATAACACTGGCTCCTGGAATGGGCTGTAAGGCAGTGATTTTTGGAAAGACTACTGGATGTTCTTTAAAAAAGGTTAACAGTGGATGCTTAGGAAAATGACAATCAATGTGCCCAGAATAGGAGCACGGGAAAATAGGCCAATCATCAATAGTGGCACACAAAATATTAACTTGATTAGTATAATATGGGGTGACTATTACACATGGTGCAACTTCAAAATGTTGCAGGCAATCTTGAATGCCTTGCTGAGCAAGCAAAGCGACAGCAATAGGATAATATTCTATGAATTTCGTGGGGGAAATCTTGGAATGAATCTAAAGTAATGGTTCTTCCTGCCACAGAATACCTGTGGGTTGTAGATTAGTGGGTAAAATGCATAAAGCAATATCTTTTTCAGCCTGCACCTGTTTTAAAAAGGCTTTAGATAATTTTTATTCCACAAGAGAGAGTGCTTGTCGAGCTTCACTGGTTAATTGTCTGGGAGAATCTAGAGCTACATCACCAACTAAAATATCATACAACAGTTTTAACTCATAGTTTGCCATGCCCAAACTGCCCCGATCCAATTTATATCTCCTAATAATTTGAAAATCATTTAATGTATGCAAATGATCTTTTCTTAATTCTACTTTTTGTTGTATAATTTGATTATGTATTATTTTAGATCCTAGATAAGTTACTACCCTGTATTGCTGTACCGTTTCTGGAGCTATATGGAGTCCTTTTTTTTTTTGTAAAGCCTCTACTAAAACTCTATAGACCTCATGCAATACCTTTTCCTCCTTCGCAGCTAAAAGAATATCATCCATATAATGGAGACACTTCACATTCGAGAAGTGGGTTCTTAATGATTCTAACTCTGTGGCTACAAACAACTAACACATAGTAGGACTACTGGCCATACACTGAGGTAGGACAACCCATTGATATCTTTTATCAGGTTTCTCATGATTGACTGATGGTAAGGTAAAGGCAAATCTTTCACTGTCTTTGCTATTTAAAGGGATGGAAAAGAAACAATCTTTTATGTTTACAGTCTACTACTGTAATGGGCCAACTCTCTGGCAATGCAGATAGCAAGGGGAGGCCACGTTGAACAGGTCCCATAATTTTCATCTGCTCATTTATAGCCCAAAGATCATGTAATAATCTCCATTTTCCAGACTTCTTTTTTATAACAAAAATAGGAGTATTCCAAGGGGAAAGGGACGACTCAATATGTCCTTCCTCTAGCTGTTCTTGCACTAACTGATGGGCTGCTTGTAGCTTTTCAGAAGATAGTGGCCACTGAGGAACCCACACTGGCTCTTCCATTTTCCAGGAAATGGGAATTCCTTCCTCAGCGGCCCCTAAGAAAAAACCCAACGCTTGTCTGGGTTTTCTTGGTTTTGCCTCTATAGGATCCTTTTGATCCTGCAAGAATTTTCCCAGGCCAAACTCAGGATGGCAGCCCATGCTTTTCCTAATAGCTTGAGCCTTATCAGAATATTCATTACTTAACTTAAACCCCATAGATTTCATTACATCTCTTCCCTATAATGATACTAGAAGTTCAAGAACATAAGGCTGAAGCACACCTGAATGCCCCTCTGCATCTTGCCAATTTAGCAGATTAGTTCTAATATCAGGGACGCTAGCATAACCCAATCCTTGTAAGGTATGTGATGAAATTTGTATGGGCCAACCCTGTGGCCAGTCCTTTTTTGCTATAATGCTTTTGTCTGCTCCTGTATCCAGGAGGCCTGTGATCTTAATTTCATTAATAATCAGTTGCAAAGTAGGTCTTTGATCTAAGTCTAAGGATAGAAAGGTTAAATCTGTACCGGATGAACCAAATCCTCTGTCCCCTCTTTCAACATCCCTAGCCGGATGTTTGTCATGTAAACTAGGCAAGAGGACAAGCTGTGCTATCCTATCCCCTGGAGAAATTGCAGTAATGCCTTTAGGTGATTCAACCATGATCTTAACAATGCCTGTATAATCCGGATCAATTATCCCTGGATGGACTTGTAGACCTCTTAAGGTAGTAGATGGTCTCCCTATTAATAACCCTACCGTGCCAGGCTGAAGAGGGCCTTGAAAATCAGAGTCCACTGTTTGAACTCCCATTTGAGGAGTTAATACTAGTCTGGTGGTGGCACGGAGGTCCAATCCTGCTGAACCTGCAGTGGCTCTCAGCGGTCCTTGGGGTGTCTGAAAGTTGGCCACTGCTCGAGATTCCCCTCTTGATTTAGATTCTCCATTGCCCCATATATTTGTGGGCCCTGAGGCCGGGGGCCCCGCTGTCCATTTTTTGGCTTAGTTATATTCACAAAAGGCTGTCCATTAATATCTTTTACGGACCTGCATTCATTTGCCCAATGCTTTCCTTTCTTGCATCTGGGGCATATTCCTGGATTTGGATTCTGGCTAATTCCTGGTCCCTGGGTATTGCCCTGCCGAGCATTTCCTCCTTGAGGGCAGTTGGGCTTCATGTGGCCTTGCTTACCACATCGAAAGCAAGTTCCTGCATTGCCCCCATTTTTGCTCAATCTAAGTACTGCAGCTGCCAGTCCGGCATTGGTTAATGGACCTCCTAATTCTCTGCATGCTCTCATCCAGACTTCTAATCCTCTATTTTTATATGGGGTGATAGCCACTCTGCATTCCTGGGTACATTGTTCATACACTAGCTGCTTGACAAACGGTATAGCAGTGTCAGGATCACCAAAGATCTTTCCTGCCGCCTCTACCGTCCTAGCCACAAAGTCAGAAAAAGGCTCCGTAGGTCCCTGAAGGATTTTTGTCAGATTGCCAGTTACTTCCCCTTTGTTGGGTAAGGTCTTCCATGCTTGAGTAGCAATATTATTAATTTGGTCACACACTTGAGGAGGATATCCATTTTGTTGGCTGGCAAATCTGCCTTGTCCAAGCAACATGTCTGTGTCCCAGACTGCTTGTGCCCCTCCAGCTGCTAAATTTATTGCGGCCTGAGTATTGGCTAATTCAATCAAAAAAGCCTTCCAGTCCAAATATCGCCCAGGAGACAAACAAACCCTTGCAAGGTTCATCCAATCGGCTGGGTTCATAGCATATCTATGCAGAGCCTCCACCTGAGCCACCGTAAAGGTGGCTGTAATGCCATAAGTCCGGACAGATTCTGCCAACGTCTTTATGATCTTAAAATCCAAAGGCTCATGGAATTGGTTGCCTTGTGAATCCTGAAATACATTTCCTGAAATACATCAGGAAATGCTGAGGCCGTCATCATTTCTGCCCTGACTTCTCTCCATACCTTAGGATTGAAAGAAATCCCTCCCTCTGCTCCTATAATCTCTGAATTTGGAGGCGGGGCCGAAGGGGTTACATTCCTTCGCGTTCCTTTGAATTGTTTTTGATCTGATTTCTCTCTTTTCCTCCTTTTGATCTTTATCCCGCCTAAGGACCTACAAATGGATTCCAAAGGGGCTACATAAAGATCCTCCTCCTCTTCCTCATCAGATTCCAAATGATCTGAGGTATCTGAATCCTCCCGTTCTGATAGGCTAGGATATAGCCTGGTTTTTCCTTTCTCTGATCTTTTGTCCCTCATTTCTTTGCTTGACCCAGCATCAGATCTAGCCTTTTCAGAGGCTGCCTTTTCGGATCTCTCCGCCTGTAGAATCTCAAGAGCGGCTTGACTGTTCTCTACTGCTTCACTGCACTTTCGATCTTCAAGACAACTTTTCACTAGTTTCCAGATAGGTCTTACTCCACCCATAAGCGTTCCCTGTTCTGCAGCAAAATCAAGGTCCTTGCCTAGTTTTTCCCATGAAGGGATTGTAAGACTCCTGGAGACTGCAAACCAAGGTGCAGTGGTGTTGCATTCCTCCAGGAACCTCTCTAGGGTACTTTTCTTAATTTTTAGATTTTTAGAATGAAGCAGCTCATTTAGAGCTAGAAAAATTGGGTGAGAAGACGAATTCCCCATGTCTATTCACTGAGAATTCTCAATGCACTCCTTACAAAAAGAAGTAAAAGTGATGAACCAGAGCACTGTATTCAGGATTTACCCAAACTGCCAAAAGCAGGTAGTAATCCATCAACATTATCCGGCAATTTTACTTTTGGTTCGTCGGGCTTGCGAACCGAATGTGCTCTACAGACTTGTAGCCCATCTGCTGTAGTCGCGGCTCTACTTTCACTTTTGATTTGTCCGCTCTAGTCGCGGCTCTACTTTTCCGCTCTCCCTTTGTCTACAGGCGAGAGCAAATAACCCGCTTTTGTCACGGATCCCCAGTCTTACCTGAGGACTTACCGGTTCACCCCCTGACTGCAACAAGTTCTGAGCTCCACAGAGAGAGAGAGAGTGGAAGCTTCCCCATACGGACCACCACTTGTCGCGACCACCTCAATCAGCAAGGAAGACGCAACACTGGAGCTCTTCTTGCAAGCAGTTTATTCAGGACCTTGTTACAATGGCTTTTCTCCCTGGGCAAGCCCCTCCCAGCCTTTAAGTAGGCCTGGGCCGCCAATCCTGGATTGCCACGTGGGCACTGTCCATAGGTCCACTGTCCCGCACTTATCTGTGAAACCTCACTCTCCTGGTACAGGGCGCACTTCCCGTACCAGACCATGAGTCTGGATCAATATCCTAGGAGTTGAAAACAGACACAGGACACACAGAGAGACCGGATCATTTGCCCAAAGGGTAAATGTCAACTTTATTTAGCACACGTAGGCTTATATACTTGGAGGCAAGAGGACGAGAGCCCCCTCCCACCTGGGAGTGAGAAGAGGGATGTTGGCCGCATGGCACCAGCGGCTGGAGCCTCCATGCAGGGGGTATTGAGCTGGGAACCCTAACAGACAGATAGGAGGAGATTTAGAGCACCTGTGAGGACCTTCCTTAGCAGGTGAAATTATCATAGCAAAGACAGAAACAAGGCTTTGAACTAATTCCCTCCGGCTAGCAGAATGAGCAGGGGAATCTAAGCTGGTTAGTGTAAATAATTCTTGCATCCTGTGCTTTGGCCTTGAGGAACAGGGAAGACAGGGCCCTATAGTACACTTATACACAAGCAGCTTACGATCATCGCGTGATTAATGCATGAGCCTGGCCTTAGCCAAATATGGTGTTGCTTACCACAGAGAGCACTCGATTTCGAGATAGCGGGAGGTGGAAGCCAGCACCATCTTTAAGGTACAGCTCCACGCAGCTCTCCACACTAGATGGAGTAGTCTCCATTTTTATCTACTATTTCCATTGTACAGTTCTGTTTTACTATTAAGATTTTCTACAAGAAGAATTCATTATGTATTTACAGCATAGCATTATATGTCATCATATGACTTTAACTTTCTATTCTGATGCTTAATCAGAACATTACTGAAAGACATTTTGTTATAATATATAAATAATAAATAAATAAACAAATAAATGTATGAAGGATTACTTTATGATTCTAAGCTCTGGTTATTCATATTTTATGGAGCTCAAATATCTTATAGACTTTTAAGGCAAAGTGCACAATTCACTCACCAATATTAAAACTTACATAAAGCACATTTAACAAACATATCTGCTCTTTTGAGCTCATTTAGAAAGCTATAACAATATATAAGATGGATATTTATAACTAAAAATGTGTCACCCCACAGAGGCTCTATTTGATGAACTGTTTTCACTGGATATGGGTGTGAGTGTGTGTGTTTGTGTGTGTGTGAGAGTGTGTGTGTGTGTGTTTATGTGTGTGAGTGTGTGGGTAAAATTCAACATCTTAAACTCAAGTAACCAGCTGTGGTAACATCTGAACTTTGCTAAAAAGGTTTTCTTCTTAACAAATATTTATTTTTCAATTTTAATTGTAAATGTCTGTGTACACGTGTGTGTTTGTGTGTTTGTGTGTGTGTGTGTGTGTGTGTACACGTACCATGTATGTTAGTGCTGGAGAATGTCAGAGAATCAGATCCCCTAGAACTGGTGATAAAGGCATTTTCAAGTGGTTGGCGTTGGGAACTGAACTCGTCCCCAAGAACAGCAAAGGTTTCAGACGCTGGGCTCTGTCTCCAGTCACCTCCACACCTCCCCCCAGCATCTTCACCTTCAGCCTTGGCCAAAAAGCTTTTATTGGAAGCCTACAACTTAACGTTTACACATACATCTGTGTTTCCTCAAACCTAAGATGCTACTGTCAGTGCTGGGACCCACAGTGACTCTTTGAAGTTTGGAAGGAGGCATGCAACATCTACAAACTTAGTTACAGCTTCTCCAGTACCGCATGCAGAAGGTGTAGTCTGTGAAACAGAGCACTGACTATTTTATTTATTTATTTATGATTTTCACGTCAGGGTTTCCATATAGTGGTGCCTGTCCTGGAACTAGCTCTTGTAGACCAGGCTGGCCTTGAACTCACAGAGATTCGCCTGCCTCTGCCTCCTGAGTGCTGGGATTAAAGGCGTGCGCCACCACTGCCCGGCCAGGGTACTGACAACTGAAGCAGAGTATTGACTGCTGTTTGTTGCTTTGAGCCAAACCCATAGTCTTTAATTACTGTTGTTTCCTGGCTCCTCGATGAGATGCATTTACCATTTCAAGTCAGACAGGACAAGGGCCATATGAAGTTGCTGCCACATACTGTTGAGGAAACTCTAAAACTAAGCCTATCCAGAAAGATTTCAGCTGTTAGAACTTAGGGTGTGTCTGAAAACAGTCTTTAATTTCTTTTTACTGGGAGATGAGTTCTGGCCTCTAAGTTTACTGTGATAATACAATGACGGATCAGATGACCTAGAGGTTCATGCAGTTGGTGTCTTTGTCCTTACAGCTGGTAAGGAAACTAGCATTTCTATAACAATATGCTGTTTATAGAGAATACATGTCTTTATATGTAAGGTGATCACAACTATCTAAAAAATTAACAATGGAAAACAAATGACTCAATCAACTACGATGTTAGAGAAACATGGTGGGAATGAAGTTTGATGTCATGCACTGCACACATTTTCTCTCACATGCATGGACGACCTACCTACACAGTTATTTCTCTGCTGTGTTCTCCAGTAAATCTCTCTAAGATGGTTTAGATTTGTGTATGCGAATCACCCATCTAACCAAACTACTTAATTGGGTTCTAGAATTCAAGCATCTTCATTCCATGAACCCAGTTCTTCAGAGATGTGGCTCTCTGATGGTTGCCCCACTGACTGTAAGGTTCTACATTAATCTCTTCTATTTAACATTCTTCATGATTGTTACTCCCTTATCCTGGAATTTTGTACTTAGTTTTGACATAAACTCATCAGTTTGAAGTACTTAACTAAATGATGTCTTTTCTTCAATAGCCCTAATATATCTATCCTGATATAGCTATGATATTTTATCTGCACATACTATAGGCCATCTCTAAACTTCAACCTTGAATTTCATGTACCTTCTTGAATAAATATTTGTTTGAAGTGCTGATCTCTTTCCCCACACATTGCCAGTCCCTTGAGACCAGAACCCTTATTTGATTCATCTTTATTTTGTTCTCAGAGCCAAGAACCTCATATACACAGAAGGGTTACTATAAACACTTTTTAGAAAATCAAATTATTTAGTAAAATATAAAGTACTATCCCACATACTCTCTTTGTATCATTTGTCATTTTGTGTCCCTAAAAGTCTATTTTTTATCGACAAAGTTGCTTTTCTGGCCTCTAGTTACTTTTAAACAAATTACAGCATACTCAAAAGCAGCAGTTATTAGAAATGATGTTATTTTCTTTATTATATCGAGCATTGGGAATCTAAGAAGAAAAGATTAGTAAAACTACATAACTACTGTGTTTGCTTGTGTGTGTGTGTGTGTGTGTGTGTGTGTGTGTGTGTGTGTGTGTGT